TTCGTAAATTTTTAATGGCCAATATTTGTAATAATTTTTCAGTCTCTCAATTCAGCTTATGCTGCAATAGATTGTTTTGTATGTGCGATTCTTTTTTGCAATAAATATACCTAAATATATATATAGTGTATTTTATGGTGCGGTAGTATTGTGTGCTTACAGTACTGTACTACAGGTTGTGCTATATAATTTTAAAGACATGTGCTGTTCATAAATCAAGAAAAATACTTCTGTGTAAGAGTAATAAATAATCGAGTTACATGAAAGGTTCAATATGTGAACAAAAACCAGGGTTTTATTTTAAGTATGTTTGTCAGCGCTGTCTACCGTAGCAAAATTAAAATGAACTCACAATGAATTCAAGTAAACAAAAAGAAGAATAATATAAACAATGACCAGACATCTTAAGAATCTGTCTCTTATTTTGTCCTAATTCAAAAGTGTCGCGTTTAATATGATACACAGTTTGACATTCATTTTAAAGTACAGGGTCTACTAATAAATAACTATACCACTAATGGAAATGTTTCTTCATATCAAAGCTAATATTGTGATTTATTGATTATGCATCGCGTATTACGCAATATATAAAATGTCCTAATGGGAACATTCTGGAACTTGACTTGATTTACCTTGATGTCGAAGCTACTGTAACTAATATTGTGATTTATTGATTATGCATCGCGTATTACGCAATATATAAAATGTCCTAATGGGAACATTCTGGAACTTGACTTGATTTACCTTGATGTCGAAGCTACTGTAAATCATTATTACTTTTTTTTGGTGGGGGGGGGGGGTTCACTTTTTAAAGCACCATGCAGGCATAAAGTTCACTTTTTAAAGTTCATGAACTTTTATCTATTTACTGCTCTCTTCATTTTCATGGCTCTACCGCCACCTAACGTAACGCGAGTACTCACTGTAGATTTGTGAAGATAAAATCAAAGAGATACGGCTTGTTGTCTCCATATGGTATTTCGGTGAATTTTGCCATTAAATATATATTAAGTGGTTAGGTATGTGTTTTAACTTATTTTGTTGACAAATCAGTTATCATACGGACGCACTTTTAGGCCATCCTACTCACACCCTAGCCTAGGCCTAGCTAGGCCTTAATAGTACGATACATAGTATCGTACTACTACTGGATACTACTGGATCTACTAAAACCTAGGTCTGGTTTAGGCTAAATGCCCAGCCTAAACTAAACTCGGCGTTTTACCTATGCTGTAGGCTTTGTCTGTACACAGGGGTTATAGCTTAGTTATATACTATAACAACTCCCTGGCCCTGGTCTGTATAGGGTGGGATTCATAAATAACAAAGTTTTTTGCTAAGACCTAACGAATGAAAGCTAAGACGTGGCCTAAGTCTAATGAATGTGCAGGTTTTTGTGGGCGAGCCAGATCCGTGTTGTTGACCATCCTTGATCGATGTCCAAAAACTCTTCATCATCATGGTTCACTAACGTTACACCTGGTTACACACGGTAACCTCGTTGTTATAAAATATAAAAAGGTGAAGCATATGTAGCTAGATAGCATTTTATTAAATTTTGGCGAGTTAGTCGTATGAGTGTCACCGACACTAAATATAATTTTATTCACATCAAACATGTAATAAATGTTCGTTGACCTTCGTGTGCCTAAGTGGCGTACATACTGTAGGAGTCTTGGGGGATGAAAGGGAGGTAAAAAGTTGAAGCTTGATAATACTTGTGTGTGATTTTTTTTTGCTTCAGACATTTTCAATCGGGTAAGATTGCCCTCCCCTCACCCCCCCCCCCACCCTCCCCCCCGGGGTGGAATATGGAGAATTATGTTGTTAATACCAATATAGTATACAAAATGTCATTAGCACCGGGCGACTTTTGAAGGTTCCAGGGTCATTCAAATAATTTTGTGAAAGCCGCATTCAAGGGACCCAGTCAACCCGGCTCAACTGATTCCGCCACAGCCTTTTCTCATATACTTTCATTTTTTCTTTGTTATCGTTGTGCAGTTGTTGATATCGATTTGCTATGAATTTGAGCTTAAACATCCGGAAGAAAGTAACATTTTTATGCAGTCTGACTGAATGCCTAATCTTTGGAGGACCTACATTTGGATGGGCATCACTGGTTTATGTACTGCGAGACAGAGGATATTTCAGTGACCTGTGTGCAAATGCTACATCAACACAATTATCTGATAGTGTAATCAATGGAAATGCTTCTGACGACTATCTAGAAAGTCGGCGCTATCCTACATGTGCTGAGCAAGATGCGTTTCTGCAGCTCGTGTTTATTGTTGGTGCATTCGGTATAAATTCATCGTCGCTTCTGTTCGGTCCTTTGTATGATAAATATGGATCGAGATTAACAAGAGTAATGAGCAGGTATTTTTAATTATTTTGTATAATAATAATTATTTTAATAATAATTTAATATTTCTGTTACATATTTTTGTTTCTTCGGTTGATATTTTTTACTGTTTTTTGTGTATCCGAGGAAACCAAATTTCAATTTTACTTGTTGTATTATTGACAATAAAATTACTTTGAACTTTAAACTTTGAGCATTCCTACGAGGTACTGCTGAGTCCTTTTGTATATTTGTATTCTTATGTTCATTTTAGTAAATTTGAATTGGTTTAAATAAATGATATGATATTAAGAAGAGTCTGACCAAACTCAGGTTCCTCCTTTGTTAAATGAATTATGTAATATTACGCAAATACCTTAGATAACATGAATATTTATCCTTATTTATATAATATTATGTTGTTAATACCAATATAGTATACAAAATGTCATTAGCACTGGGCGACTTTGAAGGTTCCAGGGTCATTCAAATAATTTTGTGAAAGCCGCATTCAAGGGGACCCAGTCAACCCAGCTCAACTGATTCCGCCACAGCCTTTTCTCATATACTTTCATTTTTTCTTTGTTATCGTTGTGCAGTTGTTGATATCGATTTGCTATGAATTTGAGCTTAAACATCCGGAAGAAAGTAACATTGTTATGCAGTCTCATTGAATGCCTAATCTTTGGAGGACCTACATTTGGATGGGCATCACTGGTTTATGTACTGCGAGACAGAGGATATTTCAGTGAACTGTGTGCAAATGCTACATCAACACAATTATCTGATAGTGTAATCAATGGAAATGCTTCTGATGACTCTCTAGAAAGTTGGCGCTATCCTACATGTGCAGAGCAAGATGCGTTTCTGCAGCTCGTGTTTATTGTTGGTGCATTCGGTATAAATTCATCGTCGCTTCTGTTCGGTCCTTTGTATGATAAATATGGATCGAGATTAACAAGAGTAATGAGCAGGTATTTTTAATTATTTTGTATAATAATTTAATTATTTTAATAATAATTTAATATTTCTGTTACATATTTTTGTTTCTTCGGTTGATATTTTTTACTGTTTTTTGTGTATCCGAGGAAACCAAATTTCAATTTTACTTGTTGTATTATTGACAATAAAATTACTTTGAACTTTAAACTTTGAGCATTCCTACGAGGTACTGCTGAGTCCTTTTGTATATTTGTATTCTTATGTTCGTTTTAGTAAATTTGAATTGGTTTAAATAAATGATATGATATTAAGAAGAGTCTGACCAAACTCAGGTTCCTCCTTTGTTAAATGAATTATGTAATATTACGCAAATACCTTAGATAACATGAATATTTATCCTTATTTATATAATATAAAATACATTTATTCAATTTAATGTTTTCTATTTTGCCAACAGTATTTCTATCAACCAAAATGTAGCCATTATAATTTACCAAATGCCATAGTTAAATAAATGAAATCTCTTTCGTTTTATTTACAATTATTACTATAAAATGTATTTATTTGATTGAATATGTATGAATAAATGTATCCTATATATTTTATTTGACAGTATTTTTATCATGACGGCATGCCTACTGTTTGCATTTAGTAGCCACTCTACAGCTTATCTCACATTCATAGCTTTACATCTTCTGGCGAGTGGGGGAATCCTACTGCTTATAACATCTTTCCAGGTAATTTTCTAGTTGCACAGTACAGTAGTTTGAAAAAATCTTTTGATGTTAAAAGACTGGAGTAGCTTGGTGGTTAAGATGCTTGCCTTTTACTTCCAGGGTCCCGGGTTCAAATCCTGTCAGTGTTCCACTCTCTAAACTTCATAATGAGATTTAGTTTGTGTAAAGCATTGTGTGTGTTATGTTTGTCTTGTGCAAGTGATTGTCACCTACAAGTAGGACAGTTATATATTTGCTTTTGACAATTCTTGGTGCATGTGTTGTGTGCCTAAATATATAAATAATAATAAATAGAGTATATAACACAAGGGTTCCACTTTGAAGGAGAAGTTTTTATCTTTGTAGTTTTTTGTATCTTAAACGATTTTTAATAAAAATAAAACAAAATGTACAGTATGACAATCGTTAGTTGGTTGGTTGTATTAATGTCATGCTATTCACATGAAAGCAACTATTAGAACAAATAACAAGTAAATTTCCTGTTACTCTGTACAGATTTGCAATTATCTGTATATAATGTATAATGATTATTTGCCTAGGTTGGGAATTTATTTGGTAGCTATCGCTCAACAGTTATGACAATTCATAGTGGTGCTTTTGGATCTTCTGCGATTGTCATGCTTTTTGTAAAGGTAATTAAATATTTTTTCTATTCATGTTTCGTCATTGCCACTGAGTAACATGGTTGCAAATATAGCTTTTGGCTAGAAGTGTGGATTTTAATTTTATGATTTTTAACCTTAAACTTTATGATTGGACAAACAAGTACCTTGTTATAAGCATTCTATTGTTCCTTAATGTCTCTGATTTACATCAGAGAACCTGGGAACCATGGGCTGGCTACCTAAGACCCCCAAGTTGCATTCAGGGGAAGGCCTTTGATAGGAATAAGGGGCAGATTCCCCTAACGCATCCTGGGATGTTAATGGTGAATTTCCTTACAATTTTTATTGTATTCAATTTTGGTTTATAGAGTGGGGGTTCACTCTAAAAATGAGTTCAGTCGCAAGACAGAAACCCCTGGTTACAGACATGCGGGTTGTGAATACTGTATTTCTGAAATAGTTTCAGAAATCTGCATCTCAATGTGAAATGCTTTAACAAAAATTTATCATATCAATGATTTCTTCCTAGATTGCTTACACTGAGGGTGTGTCAATGATGTCGTGCTTTATTTTTCTAGCAGGCATTTCTTTGATTTTCAACGTCAACACCTTCATTTTGCTACCAAAATACAAGATTCCTTGGCCGCTGCCAGAGAATTGGGGAAAGTCAGTTACGGTGTCTGAACGTTTGCCCATCGAAGATACCCAGGAAATGGAACTTGTTCAGTCAAATAGTTAAGTCTATGCTTTCTTAATATAATATTTAAATTTCAATTTTAATAACAGTGGTATATTTTATGTTTATAATTTATTGTAGTACCAAAATCCATGTGATGAGGTTTAGCGGAATGGACCAGTATTAATTATTCTCATGATCTTAAAAACAGTGGTATATTTTATGTTTATAATTTATTCTCGTACCAAAATCCATGTGATTAGGTTTAGCGGAATCGACCATTATTAATTATTCTCATGATTTTAATAACAGTGGTATATTTTATGTTTATAATTTATTGTTCTACCTTCTGTAGGTGCTGTGACTAATAATGGTACAGTCCAAACAGTGTCATGGATGGATGTTGAATATCCCAGCCTTCTCAGCTGCCTTAAGTCTCTAATGTTTTTATTATTTTTGATGTGGTTTTCAATTCTTCAGCTTACACATTTCTTCTATATTGGAACATTTAATCCTCGATTACAATTTCTTACAGATGATGATAAAGATACAAGTAAGATTTTGACACTTTTACTTAATTTACATTTTTTATATTCACTAAAAATGGAGAAAAATTTTTGTTTTAACCAGTCCAGTTCCCCATGATTACTGATCAAGTGATCAAGGGCGGATGAACTCCTCAGAGCCAACGGCCAAGCCATGCTCACTGAATAGAACTAGTTAAGTTCTTTGTAAGGTTACAGTATTCATTTTCATCTTAAGTGCATACATGTCCCCACAATATGCGCTCTATAAGTCGACCATTATTATTATTATTATTATTAATTATTGATGCTTAATAACATAACATCCGAAATGTGAATTGCTTATTTTTAAGCAAGTTATGAGCTTTTGATTAGGAATTTGTCCAAGAAGTGGTTTTCTTCTTCAGTGGCGTAACATACTTGAGGCCATGGCTAAGGTCTCTTCAGGCCCTACTATCCTGAGGGGTTGGTATTGGCAAAAGCCCCACCTGCTTCTGCGTTTTAGATATTTAAAGTCCTGCTCAGTACATATATTGGTGAATTACTGGTAGTGATCACATAAAATAAAAAAATTAAAAATTTAATAGTGTGAATAAAGATTAAAGGATTTTTCGTAATAAAAATTGATTTGTTTCAATATGTTGTCAATGGAAGTTATTTTCATTGTATTAATTAAATGTTTGAAATTTAATATACCTTTAAAATTTAATATATATATATATATATATATATATATATATATTCTATGTATACATATGTATACATAATTATAATATAAATCAAGATAGCCGTTAACACTCTTAAATTATATCTAAATCATCAAAGAAAGCGGCTCTAGGATATAGCTTATGGGGAGGGGGGGCTAAGATGTCCGACTGGGGGCTAAGTATTTATGGGTGTAACTATAGCGCGCAGCGTTATCTGAGGGCTGAAGGCCGGAGCCGGGAGTGGGTGTGGGAGGGGAGTGTTCCCTCATCCCAAAACGAGATTAAAAAAAAAAAATTATGACTTCTAGGTGGCCGGAAAATGCTGGGATGGGAAAACTAGGCCTATTTTTTTTTTTTTTTTTTTAGTCCGACTGCCCGACGAGCTTTGGCCGATGGGGGGCTTGACCAGACCCCCCTCCCACTGGCGCTGCGCCGCCACCACTGTTTGAGGTTAAAGCCAGGCTCTGGAATGGAAAAAAAAATTGGTGTCTGATGTGCTGTACAACTGAATTTTCTAAGACACAGTTAATGAGATGCATATTTTTGAATATATACAAATTAGAGGCAAAAGGTGTAAAATGGGTGGTTATAATAATGCCCGAAGGTTTTTGTCAAATATACTGTTTGTGTCTTGGAAAAATCAGTTGTACAACATATCGAAATAACTTTTCGTCTGGAGTCTGCCTTTAAAGTTAAACGGTTTTCAGTTCATTGTGCGCTGTGCTTGGGCTCACTCTCTTAACTTACTCCCTTAATTAGCCCAGGAGAATAAGGCTTGTCCAGACTAGCATGTATCAAATGCAGCTCCAATGTTTCTCGGCACAAATGCACATTATGGCTATCCCCCTATTGTCTCATTCTTACGCTTGTGAAAAAGTTGTATCACACCAAAGCCTGACTACCGTGATATGGTATAGGCACAGTAGCATTGCTTGTGTAACGCGTATGAATTACGTTAGGATGTGATGCTGAATGTAATGATTCCTGCTCTGAATGTACTGAGCCTACGCAACTGAAGCCCTTGTTCACACTATAAAATTTTGTTTGACAAAAGCAAGCCTAAATATAGTCATGATGACATCACATTATTACCATATATAGGCACATCATGACTATGTATGGAAGTACAAGTTTTTTTGTCAAAGACAATTTGATATGGACAGAGCTTTAGAAACATTGATGTCTTTTAATAGGACCAGACAAGCGTACATCACTAGATGATCTCCAGGACTTTATACTCGGAATTCTGCTCGCAAACTTTGTCACAGCAGCATTCAACGTCACCATGATGATACCGGTATTACCACTTCAATTCCTGACGTTCTTCTTGCAAGTGATGGGACGTGCATTCATTTATGGCTGTCTGGCCACATTCATATCAACGACGTAAGTTAGTTCCAAGAATACTATTACAGTAACATTTCCCAATTACGAACATCTGATTTATGAACTCAAGATTTTACGAACCAAATTTGTGGCGATGACGTCAGTACAAACAATCGTTTTTCACTACAAAAAATTGTTACATCATTCAATAGAGAAAAATTACATTCCAAAAAATAGAAACTCCATCCATTTGCAAGGCTGTCTGGCCACATTCATATCAACGACGTAAGTTAGCTCCAAGAATACTATTACAGTAACATTTCCCAATTACGAACCTCTGATTTATGAACTCAAGATTTTACGAACCAAATTTGTGGCGATGACGTCATTACGAACAATCGTTTTTCACTACAAAAAATTGTTACATCATTCAATAGAGAAAAATTCAAACCTATAAAGTGATATAAAATTATGTTTCAAGTAAGAAATTTCAATCGTTTTCAGTCGAAATATGTCATATTTGAGCTGTGCACGCTTGTTCAGGCATACTGTACAGCAACTTTCACTTTTTGATCATTGGGGGCTCTATTCACATGGATTCGCGATCTTTATGAAAAGAATAATAACACTCGTTTTGGGCATTATATGGTCATGTTTTCATTCGGAAATCACTTCAAATGAATACTTTACAGTGAGCACAGGTAATTTTGGCGTCTGTAAAATATTATTTTGTTGCAGAAAACTGTAAAATCCAAGTCACATTTCATAACAAAATTTTCCTCCCATCGCAAGGCTTAGGGCCAACCTAGCCCTGTACTTTGTGGCATAGGCTCCCCTATGAAAACTTGCTTCCCCCATTCACCCCACCATATTGAAAATGTAGCAAAAAAGTTCAAGTAGATAAAAATCACCCCATATCACCTTATTTTGCCAGCTAGCACCCCTCATTTAATTCACATTTGTTCTTTCCTCTCCCCCCCCCCCCCAAAGACTACTATCTACTAGATATGCCACTGAACATGCCATGCTACTCTGGAGTGAATTGAGTACACACTTTAAAAATGTGTGGAACAATTAATTTTTTTCAGTGAGTTAATCTGTGTCTTTTCTTTCTTGTATTCAGATTTCCTGGTAGATACTTTGGGTCCGTGTATGGTACAATATCTATCCTAGCAGCCTGTATAGCACTCTTCCAGTATCCACTGCTTAAGTTAGTTCAAGGGCCATTTGATAATAATTCATTTTATGTAAGTTGTAAACATTTTCATGAACGATATTAGGAAATATGTATATAATTTAACATTGTAACCAACCTATTCAGGGTACACAATTTTTTATGGGATGCTTTTTTTTTAGTCCCGAAGGTGTCTCTTTAATAGGGGTTCTACTGTATGTAATATAATAATAATCGCATTGTACCATCTGATATTTATCATCGTCACCAGAACCACCATGAAATTAATATAAGTATTCTGTGAAATGGATAATAAACATCAGGTTTCATCTATTTTTTCCAATTTAGGTGGATCTTTTTCTCCTAATTTTGAATGTATGTACCCTTACTCAGCCACTGTACGTTTACTACTTTGTATCCAAGAAAAAGCGTTTTACCCTCACAACGGAATATCAACCAACATTTGCTGATAGTGCAAGTGAGGCAGATCTAAATGAGAATTAGTTGGATCGTCTGAAGTGTAATCAGTGGCAGATTTGGGGAAGCCTGCCCGGGTAATTGTAAATTTTTTGTAATAAAAAAAAATAATGCATAAAAAAATAAATTGTAATCAAATTTTAGTCTGAGAGTGCCATTTTACTGGATCCACCTGGTTTTTTTTTTGGGTTTAGATGAATTTAAAATTTTTTTATGGCAGTGAGTGAACTAACAGTGTAAAATTTAAATATATTTTTAATAAAAATTGTTATTATGAGCCGGGGAAAAGATGAGTTTATTTAATGCCATTTTCTCACTTCATTACGATTTTATTTTGAAAGGCGCTCAACAAATATCCTTACATTACCATTACATTCCAAAAAATAGAAACTCCTTTCATTTGCAAGGTGCTAGTCTTTCAACTATGGCTGCATGTTATTTGTTAATTTAGGATTTGTATATGCCTCTTTCATTGTTTTGAAGGGGCTATGTCTATGTCGTAATACTGAAAAAATAAGTGCAATTTTGAATGCTTTAAAAAAAGTGTACTTAATAATTTGTACCTATTCATGTACATTATAATTAAATGTATTACTCATTCCTACTATGGAAATGCAGTATAAAAAACATGTGCCAAAAGAATTATGATAGTAACATACACCATTGCATTGCAGTGTTGTTAATAATGGGTGGATTTTTATAGAGTACCACAGTCGTGTCGTCACGATGCCAGGTGGCACTCTCTGTTGTCAACAGAAGTTGGTTACCATTCATTACGCCTGAATGACTTCATAGACTTTCTGGAATAGGCATTTTAAAATCTTATATTTTACCATCAAAATGTACTGAAAACACAAAAGCTTGCATTATATTAGTATTCCAACACACATTAAATCATCAATTAAAATTTACAAAGAAAAAGTAAGATACAACATCTTGAAAATTACGTCAGAAATTTTGATCAGTGGTTTGTCAGTGAAGAAAATGGCATCAGGTTGCGTGCTTTTTGCAACGATAGCAACGGAGTAGTATCACATGGTATCGTGACGTAACACTGTAGTACTCTATATTAGCTACCATCTGCATTAGATATTGGCAATTTTAATATTTATGTGCTGTTGATAGTAAAACATATTGTATTAGCACAGTGATTTTGTTAATTATGAAAATGAAGGTATTGGAAAGTTTTTATATAATGATGTAGTTGAGAAGTTAATATTTTACTATCTTAGTTTATAATTCATTTAGACCAATTCTGTAGAATTGAAAAGGGTATCTAAACATATTAAGAAGATAATGTTTTACTATGTTAGTATTTGAAATTTTACAAATATGGTTGAAGAAGATTTGAATAATTATATTTAAATATATTTATTCAATAAATTCAGTGGGTGAGTAATGAAGTATAAGTAAGGATGATGTAAAAACTTACGGATAGCTTGCTTCCATGTAAGTGACGATATGTCGATCATGGGCATAGTGGAGTTGGTTCCAATGAATCTTTACACCTTCGGTGGTGGCGGTAGTCATAGAGTATATAGTGGGTTATATATTCTTTCTGGTAGTGTATACAGTGTATTTTCAAATAAATATTAAATGCATGTACAGTATTAGAATGATAATTGAATTCTGCTTTTGTTTGATTATTTCCTCCGAAGAGGATGGGCCGATCCTGGAGGTACTGCAATACCAGGCCAACCCGTGGCCAGGACGGAGCAAGCTCCTATTCCATGGCCTAATTTCAAAAATCAGTTTAATATAGAAGCTACTCAATGAGCAGCGTTTCAGATATTAAGCTGAAAAGAACAGATACTACACATGATCTTAGCCAAAAGGCCGAGAAGCGATACCGATTTTTGGTAGCCTTAGTATATATACTGAATTTAATACTAATATTGTATCGGTGTTGAATAGTTGATTTTCTTCAATTAGCATAAATTGTAAAAAAATACAAATATACTACTATACATTATTATTAATTGCACTATAAATAGTGATTTAACGGTTCACTGAGTGAATTTACTTATGACACGCACTGCGAAAGTTTATTTTAGAATTTATATTGTTAGAATATTCATTAGCTTCACGCATGAATAATTTTGTTT